TGTTATTGATTGAATAATATAATATCTGCCTTCTTATCCTCCTCCCTCCAGCAAAGTGGCAAACCAAGACATTTTTAATGGTGCTAAAATAGCACAAATGAGGCCTTTTTTCCTCCTTTCAAGTGTTCTCTTTCCCCGTTCTTTTTCCTCATAATTTGTTCCTCTGCTCCTATATCTCTTTACCTGTAGTTCCTGTTTTGTAGCATACTTATATACATACACATGTACATACACAAGGATTTAAATGGTTCCATGCACTTTATACTTGTCCAGTGTAGGTCCATGTTCCTTAACCTCAGGAGGTCATCAGAGCTCCATTTTGCTCCCAAGTGGCTTGAACACTACAGCACCTTTGTCCACTTCTATTGTTTCAGTGGGTGATGATGGTAAGCATGAATTCTTGGCTGCCAGTCTGCCTCTAGGAAAGCATCCAAGATACTATGGTGGGAATATGGAAATGAATGTGTTGGCATATTAAGGAACTCCATGTTAAAGGAAACTAGTGGGATGGGTTTTGCCTCAAATATTAAGTGAGGGCTCAGGACAACTTTACTTATCCTTTGAAAAAAAACGTTCTTTGCCTGTATAGGGCCATTAGTCAAAGTCTTTCTGGACATGCTTTAAATACAATACTAATTTTTAGAACCCTGAGAGTGTTGACACCCTTGGGGGCTGAAGAAGCCATTCAAAAGTCATATTTCCCAGCTACAGGTACGTGATTTATAAAGTCTTTCAGTATAATAAAGCCAGGTAAGGAAAATGCCACATTGAGCTTGTTTTTTTTTTTTTTTTTTTCTTATGTCAAGCAATTCCCTAATGAACAACGTCATATGTCTCTTCTAATTTGAGCTTTTATACCTTCTGCATGGCTTAATTCTTGTTAATTATCCATCTGAGTTATTCAGTTGCAGAGGATCTAGTACCTGGCAGCAAAGCCTCAACAGCCCTGAAGTCCTCAGGGTTGTGTTTGGCAGTCCTGAGATCCCATCTCTGCAAGTCCCCGTGCCGAGGCAGGCAGTATGCACATGCTCTGCTTCTGCCTTTCCTGCAAAGTGTCTTCATGGCCTTCCTGCCATACCCAAGCCTCTCCCACCTGCTCTGGTCTGAGTGTACCCTCAGATTTTCTTGTCCACTCTGCAGCTCACCTGAATTTTTCTGCTGATTATTAACACAGAAGGACCTTGCCCTGAGGCCCCATCCTTCCCTGGATGGTGGACCCAGCTCTCTTTTTCCTTGCTTGTTTTCAGTCTGTTGTTGTGATCACCTATCCAGCTTTAATGATTGCATGATTCTGAGTTCAGTAGCTCCCAAAAGTTTACAAATGACAGTTCTTCACCTACAGATCAATGTGATGGTACATTCTAAAACCAGGTTGGTAAGTACAGAAGTGAGGTGAGAAAAAAGAGAAAGAGCTAACATATAAACTAAGAACAGTGTAGTTGTCTTTGGGTAGCTGCACATATAGCTCAAAATCTGATATTTTTGCCCATATCTATGGGCAAAATCTTCTCCTGCTCTTTCATTAAATGTCACGTGGTTTTGCAATAGACAAACAAGACTGGACCAAGAGGAACTTACTTTGCTGAGACTACCGTGCTTATGAGAGAAATTGGCTTGTTCTACCTTTAAACAAGCTTGTGATTTATTTTGTTTATCTAGCAGAAAGTAAGTTGAAGCAACTTGAAGCATTTGGCCCAGAAAATCCCCAACATATTGTACTTCCTTACAAGACATGTGCAAACATGAATGAACACTACTTAAAGCCTTCTTCCTGATCTTGTGCATTCCTGCACTGGGTCACTCTGCTTTACATGTAGTTGAACTGAATAAATGGCCTGTCTTGAATTACATCTTGGATAAACTGGGTGTGTAATGTATCCAGCCAGCTTTAGTGTTCATAACTGTCACTTGTATAACTGAGCAGTGCGTTTTTGAGGCATTGCCAGGTTCAGAGACATCTCAGAAGAACAATCTGTTCTTACAAACAAAAACAAAATGTGGTAGAGGAAGACAGCAAGGAGGAGGGAAACCAGTGCTTGATAGGTATTACTGTCTATATCCTATAAGCACTTCAGTTCTGGGGGCAAAATAATGGAAATCCATTCAGATTTGAATTGTCTTCTTCATCTCTACAAAGCATTCTGTGATAAAAACAAAGGACAGAAATTATTCTATTATTCTATCATACTTGGATTACTTCCTGCCCTCAGACTCAGGGGAATGGAGTAGGTCATAGTCTCTACACTATTTTCCAAAAAATGTCTCTGCTTCATAGTAGCAATGAGTAATGTCCTCTCTCTTTGCATGCACTAGATCAGAGAGTCCCTCTTTCACCTCTCCAGTAACACTGTCTGTCTCCTAGAGTGAAGGCAACAGCTCTTCAAACATTAGAAGACACAGACCAGGCTCATCAAAATATCTGAGCAGCAGGACTGATGGATTTGCAGTCATTTCTCCCACTCAAACCCTTGAACAACAGTCTGGAAGAAGTATACAGAAAGGCTGTACTTCAAACAAGTCAGGGATGGAATCAAGACTTGTTCCACACAGCAAAGGACCCTTTCTTCTCCCAGCCCTCTCTCCAGTCCCATCCTCTTTGTATAACTCCCTCAACCTTGCATCTGGTTTGACAAAATTTCTTCTTCTGTTGCTCTCAAACCACTCCTTCTCTTCAGTGTGTCAAGCTGCTTTATCATATTAAACTCCCTCTGTTTCTCCTGGTTCATTGAAAAGGTCAAAAGCAACAGTCTGTCTTTCTCCTCCCAGGAAAAGGAGCACAAGCAGAGGTCAGCCATGCATCAGGGCAAGCGAGTCTTTACATTCATTGTCATTTCCTCAAAAAAAATGAGCATGGTGTCAAAGTTAGAGCTGGCATAATAGAGAAACTTCTGCCTTACATTAAATAGAGCTTTTTTCTGTAAATACTTAATTCTCAGCAAGATTTAGTTTCCATGGAAAATGTGAGTTAAAAAAAAGAGATGGACAAGCAAAGAAAAAATGAGAATGTTCCTGTTTTAGGTTTAAGATCCATACATGAATTAAGAACCATTTATAACCTCTCACTGGTCCTTATTCTTCAATGTATTCCAAGGTGCATAGGCTTATATCCATAGGCAGTACTCCAATACCCTAATGCAGACCAGATGCACTCACATATCTTGGGATAAAAAGCTTTAAGAAAAAACTAGTGATTCTGATTGGCCTGTTTTGGCCTCCTCCGTGGTGTCGGCCTGTCACTTTTTTTGCTAATTTGATCCTTTTTGCAGGACCTTTGACCTAACCTGTAGATGACTTTTTACTTTTATTACTCAGCAGCTTAATAATTTCAGCTGTGTAGCTGGTTGTCAAAAATGAGATGAATACAAGTACTGAAGAACACAAAGATGAACACAAATGTGTGAAAAAACCATAAGAAATTAGTATTACTTTTTTTTTTTTTTTAAGCTTTTGCAAAACTACTATTAAAAAGGTATAAGCCAAACACTCCAAGCCTCATTGTCTGCCAAAGCACTTGGGAGAACTGACAGTGAGGACTGAGTCCATTCCATCATACCACAAAGGATCTGGAGCTCTGATTTCACACATGATAACAATAAAGTGTGTTCTTCACCTAAAAGCTTTTTAGAAAGCATGATAGGCATGCAGGCATTTGGCAGGGCAAGAAGATACAAGGTCTATGCAAGGTCTATACTCTGTATGACAGCAAGGTGAAAGAAGGAATTGCTGAATTTGTCTCATTTTGGTGAGTACTCTGATTGATTTTATAGAAAGAACTAACTATTTACAATCAAAGTTATTTCACTGAAAAATCATTTTGCAGCACATGAGCCTCAGAAGATACAGTGCAATTTCCAAGCTTTGTAACACCACAAAAAATTAAAAAATTAGAGGTGAGAAATTTGAAGTAGCATAAATAGATATTCCATTGGAATAAAGAGGTGGTATTGTTTAGCTTATGGTTCATTTCTGGTATTTTGTTTTTTCTAAACATTAAATAGTTTTATTATTTAAAAGGATGTGCAAATTAGCTGCAAAATTGAAAAGCTGGGGAAAAAGAACATTAGGAAAAGAGCCCAGAGAAAAATTTCAAGGCATTATTCCAGTTTCTCTGACCTTCTTAGTGTAATACACCACAAATAAAGCCCTCTTAACAAACTCAGAGTCATATTTGAAATAATAAAGTTCTCCCTAGTTCTAGTTCTCTCCCATCTGACTGTTTAAATGAAGGATCAAATTCTTTTGATTCCTGTATTCTTACCAGCCAGGGACTTGAAGGCCTACATACCACCCAAATTCATCCAAATCCATCTCACTGCACATAAGACACATAATGGTCTGTCTTCCCACCTTAGCATGTCCAACATTATACTTTAAATAGCAGGCTCCAGAGGAAAAGATCTTTACTACTTCTTTTTTGTCAAAGCCCCTCAAAGTAAACACCACTGGTGAAAATATTCTTTGCTGTATTTGTGCTTGTCACAAAATATTTTTTCTGAAATTGAGGAAAATCTAGTTTGCTTGCAGAGTATTGTTCCTCCTACCTTGATGAGAAAATCATCATCCATGGAACACTCATGGCTGTCATCATGTGGTGATCACAAAGAAGAAAATCACTGTGTCATTTATTGGGGTTGTCCTGTGCAGGGTTAGGAGGTGAAATCTATGATTTTTGTGGATTTCTTCCAACTCAGGATATTCTATGATTCTAAAAATAATTACATTTTAATGTCCTTTTGCTTCCCTATTTTTGTTTTTCTCAGCTGTGCTACAAAAAGCAAGGTATTTGTGACAGTTTTAGATCCCCTTGTTTTCAAGGTAAATGCTAATGTTCCTGAAATACAGTCTATTTAATTATGTGCATCTGGCCTACTTTGGAGAAAAGTGGGGAAGGTGTGAGGAGGGAGATTCTTGTGTCTTTATCACCCTGAGAGGAGCAGATCTCAGAGATCGCTGGTGCAAGAGGCTGCTTGGCAGCCAGGCTGGGCTCTGCCCCGAGCCATGACTGCACTCAGGCCATGCTGCCAGCACAGGTTGTTCTCATTCAGAAATCCAGTGATTCTGCAGGTGAAGAACAAAACAGAAAGAAGTTTTTGGGGTTTTTTTCTGCTTTAATTCCAGGTCTCTTATGGTCCAAAGCAGAAGAGTTTTTATTAGATTTTTGGTAGCCTTGTGAATGTATTCAGCAAGAGTTGAATGGACAAGTCTGGCTCTCAGTGATGTTTAACTGCTTGTGGCTGTATTGCAGACATGCTTTTTCAGATGGATAGGTAGCAATGTGAGACTGATTGTGCCTTCGATGGAGATAACTGAGCACATCTGCTATTTCTATATGGCATTTGACACTGCCAATGCTTTAGTTCATTTTGTAATCTCTCGTCATTCCAGCAGTCCCAAAGGCAAATATTCACACTGAAGCATTGCCCTCACTGTGGTCCCCTTTATACATGTTCAAAATTTTCTGAGTTAAGGTACTTACGTAAGTATTGGAGGGTATCAGTATTAGGTTTCTTTTGATGAAGTGATTAATTGCATCCGAGGAAAGCACAGGAAATTCTGGAGCAAGTAAGAAAGTGAAGGCGTACATGTTACAGGAGACTCACAACAGAAGTGTATAACAATAGACACAGAGCCTACTAGGTGAAGCAAGACTATGGAAAGTTATCTCTAGGACAAAAAACCCAGTCAAATGAACAAAAACAAAACCTAAAAAGAGACCATGTGAATTATGAACAATCAGAATTTCAAACAAGCTTCTGACTTCTATCATCTTTAAATGATTTGCAAATGGCTATCCGTAAACTGTTCTGTGTAATTGCTGAACATTAATATGTTTTTATTTAACCAAAGTCCAAAATAAACAATCAGCCTCACAACAACCAAATAGTCAGTCTCCATCGTAGGCGTCCAAGATGGGAAAATTTAGGCAGCAAAAAAGCTATCTACTATAAAGTCTATGGCTAAGAGCATTCCTTGTCTGGGGGAACAAGGCTGTCAGCTGCCCTCAGATCAAACCTAAGGAAGAATTCTTCATCTTTTCTGAATCTTACACAAAGATCAAAATACAAAGGCAACAATTTCACCACGGAGCTGCCTTGCTGGTGCCTGCACAATCTGCCTGTGCTCCACTGCTGTGGCACAAAATTTGAACCATGACTATGAGACCTCTGCCATACTCCGCTCTGCTAAACCTAGAAGCACACCCCAGGAACATCCCAGAGATATCACTGCAAGATACAGGGGCTGTAGGAGTTTCAGCTAACTAGGAGTTTTCAGCTAACAGCCCACACTGGGCTTCTAATACAACAAACAATCTAAGCAGGAGTGGGAAAGAGAATAGAGATGTGTCTGTGCAAACACATAGTGAATGATATTACATTTGTGGTTTGTTCTACTTATTCAAGACTAATAAATGAGGAGTTAGAAGATGAGTAGGGGAAAAATTAAAGCAAGGGTGGTAGGGAAGTCATTCTTGCAAAAGTTAGCGGATGTGCACTGGGCATTTGGCAATGATTTATGGTTTAATTGTGTTCAAACTTGTCAAATAAGTTAATTAAAAAAGATAGTAATACATCATAGTTTATAATTAGACATTTGCAGTCAGAGCAGTGTTTAAGGAAAGGACTGAAATCACATGGAGAACCAGCCTTCTTCTTTCCAGGAGAACTAGGACACCTCTGAAGAGCTGTGTATTCAAAAAGGGCAAAGGGAAGAAAACATAAAATTTCCCTTTTGGCAACAGGTCAAATGGACAGTAGAGACTGAGGTCATGACAGACTTTGGTAGATACACATAATGACAGAGGAAGTGCCAGAGCTTTTGCCATATGAGTGGTATTAAAGATAATTCCTGAAAATTTGGCCTCAGAAAGCCAGGCAGGGGCCACAAAATGAAGGATTATTTGCTCAGAAAGACAGGACTGGAAAATTATCTCAGAAACTTCTTTATGTGTCTGACGTCTGATATGTTTTTTAGATTCTCAGCAGAATGCTGTAGTGGGCATGTGTGAAGATGAAGATCTGAAAGTTTCAGAAATATGAACAGAAGAAGGGAGCTGAATGCTGATGATGGTATGTAGGAGTGAGCATCAGCACTTTCACACTGCTTAGATGTTAAAGTGAGTGGAAGGAACATTGTGAAATCTATCAAGAGATAAAAGGTAGGAACAGAGAAAAATTAAGAGGGAAGTGAAAGGACTGAGTTTTGACAGTACTAGGTCATACCTTCAAAGCATGTTTAATGGTGAAACTTCACTGATGTGAGCTGAACTCATCTAATTTCCCAGAAACTGAGAATCTTAGATGACCTGGAAGAGATGCAGGCTAGAAAGTGGTGACTGCAAGGGCAGACAGAACCTGATCTAGCTTGCTGGAGGGAGTAAGCTATTCCAGAGCTAGTCAGAGGTATTAAAGTACTGGTTAGACAAAATAGTGCCAGGATTGACAGAGTTGGGTGTAAGGACACGACAGCTCATTTTAGCACTGGATTCAAGTTCTTTCCAAGCACAGCAAGGATGAATTTAGGTTAAGGCAGACTAAAGCCAGTATTCTGAAAAAAATATACTCTCCTGTGGACCTTGACCTGTGAAAATGTACTGTCTTGCCTGAATTTTGCCCCATAGCAACTAAAGAGTTGGCAATAAAGTCCATTCCTTTCTTTTGGCACTAAAATCTTATTTCAGACAAAGAAAATACAGATCAGTTAGGCTGATACTAACTCAAAACAATTTCTTGTGGTTGGGAAGTCACATCTGAGAGTGACTGGAAAAGCAAACGTGAGATGAGATGAGATGAGAAGAGACGAGACAAGAACAATAGGAACATTCAGATGGAAGTCCAGCAGTCGCATCTCTGATGCAAACAGATTTTGTGAAGGTCTTCTTTCAAAGCCATGAGAATACACACACACACACATCATTTGGAGGTAGCATTAACTTCAAGTGAAATGGGTGTTTTATAAAATGCAAGGAATTCATATTGCTTCAGAGAAATCCAGGGACTTTTTATGAACTAGGAGAAAGACAGCTGCTTTTCACTGAGAAGGTCACTTTTCTCTGAATGATGGTTCCAATTGAATTGGAAGGACCAGAGAGGGAACAGAAAATCTTATTTTTTTCATAGACAATCACGAGTTCAGACACATGAAATCCACAATAGGTGGTAGTTGGATTGCAACCATAGTTGTGTCCCAGTTCTGAGAATAAAATATTTGTACCAATATTTGTATAAAATATACACCCTGCAAAAAAAAAAAAAAAATCTTACCAAGGATGGTTAAGGCAGATGCTGAGGATGTAACATGGAACTAAAGGAAAAAAGGCCAGTATTCTGAATTGGTTTATTGTATTTTAATGCATAGATTTCCAGGGGTCCTGGCCATTCAGACCTGCATTTACTGCTTATTTTCTTCATCAAAAAATCACCCCAACATACAATGGGCCACAAAGGCTTGAGTCACACGTGTCAGATCAGGATCAAACATTCCACAAAACTCCAGAGTTTTTCAAATCCGAGGTTTTGCTCTTTCTGACTTCATATAGAATACATCGTTTTGTGCTTCAGGTGTGATTTTTTTTCACCAACAGGGAAATCCTTGGCTAAGTGTTTTTTTCTCTGGTGTCTTCTTCAAGATACCACTAAAATAAATTAATACAAGCTGGTATGTATCATAAAATTGTAGCAGATAATTGAAGACAATATGAACTTTATCAGTGCTTACAATTCAAACCTTCATTACCAAATTGGTTTTGTCTGAAAAATTTCACAGCTTTATTCTGACAAGGACTAAACTCGTTGTAAGTAGAAAGGATAACTGCACACATGAGTAGATAGGACTCCAACATGTCAAGCAAATCCAATCTCCTAATTGAGCAACTGAGTGAACAGTCAAGCTCTTTAGACAGGCTAATGGAAAAATATAGAGAATTAAGTAGAAATCTGTGAGTGTTTTGAGGAGGAACAGGGAAGCCCTGAGATCCATATGTCTCTATGGCTATCAGGAGTTTTCCAGAAAACTCTTTTGACTGGGTGTTTGGGATACAGAAAGATGTGGTCAACTGATGAGGCATTTAAAAGATAGTTTATTGCAAAATCAGTCTCATGAAAGGGTGAGCCTGTAAGGTTGTTAAATCCAAAGTTATCACATTAGAAGCCTTGCATTGGAAGCCATTATAATTCTACTTACAAGGTTTTTTATAAATTTCTTATCCAATCAGCTACTTCCATAGAACCCACTAGCACCTACAGAAACTTATTGCTGTATCTTCTGCTTTTTTTTTTTTCTACAACATCTATTGTTAAACTTCAACTGTTTTCTACAATCTTCTACTATCTTGCTTAATATATTTGTTCACTTATATGAGGCCTATATTTACTTGTTTCAAACTTATTTCTGCTTAAACTACAAATCTTTATTCTTACTTTGCTTCTGTTTCGCTATTCTATTTTAAAGCTCCAAGCCCTCTCCAAGGCCTTAGGCCAAACACTGTATCCATCTCTGTCTCTGAGCTTGCATACTCAAGGCCTTGGGAGCTCTCTGCGCTTGCATTTCCCACAACTGGGAAGAGGCCTTTCCTTTGGCTAGTATGGCCAATAGCTGGAAAACAGATACTGGTGCATGCTACCCCTCCTCTCTGTCGTTCCCCTTGCTCAGATTGCAGGTGCTGCACGTCCTGGTTCTCCTGCCTGTGGTCTCCAGCCCACTCCTCCGTGCTGGCTGTGGTGTGCAGCCCATGAGGCAAGGCCAGCAGCTGTGTGCCCATCCCGTGTAGGCCTCTCCCACCAGCACCAATAAAGAGAATCCATAGTTTCTTCACACAGCCTTGTGCGCCCAAGGAACATTAGGAAATCCTTGCACAGGGCTTTGTTTGTGCTCTGAGAAGCACAAAATCCCCTCTTATCCTGGGCAGCTTCCTCATCAGTCAGGGTCACCTACATGGTTTTAAGTTGAGAGAGGGCAAAATAGCATTCAAAAAGGCTGGCTAATGCAGGGAATGACCATTTCTCCCAGATGAGGTCCCTGAACTCTCCAAACAGCACTGGGAAGTGAGACCAGCAGAACCTAGCCCCCAAGGGTGGCACCTAGAGTTCTCCACTGCAGATGCACTTCCATGTATGTTCAGCATTCATTGCTATAATGCAGAGGGCTTAAGTGGGCAATGAGGAGAAAGGTTTGTGTTGATTCCCTTTCCTATGCAACTTGACATGATGTTTCCTTTCCCTGCTTGTGATCTCTAGTGCTGGGCCAAATCCCCACCACGTCCTTCTTGCAACCAGCAAAAATCAACTAGTGTGGAAGGAACAATAAATATCAATAGGGCTTCTAGGCTAACAGCTTATGAACAAAGTAAGAAAAAAACCATGAAAATGAAACCATGAAAAAAAAAGATATTCCCTGCCTTTAGTAGAGCATTACTCAGTCATAAACTATGCACTTTTGAGCTTCTTTTGCTCCCCTGCCAAGACTCTCAGAGAGGCAAAATCAGGATAGATGCATGAAAAGAAGAATAAAGAATAATATATAGGAAAGGAAAAAAAAAATCATCATGTCCAAGGGTC